CATACATATATATATATATATATATATATATATATATATATATTAGTAATAAAATAGATATATTAATTAATAATAAATGAATAATATACATGTGCATTGCATGAGTGCTATATCTAGTTAACAATACAAATTATACTCACTGATAAAAAAAGTTATTTCTTGAATTAGGTATATTTTCATATGATGTCACCATTATTTAAACCAACTAATTCAAAAAGTATTTTTGAAATGAAATTAATTCTATGAGATTATTAATAAAAACTGGCCATCTTAACTTCTAAATTAGTTATTTATTTTTTTATATAAAAAATTGGTGGATATAATTGTTAAGCTTGTACAGTTAAAAACTTAGAATTAGCTTTGACATCTAGCAATACTTTAAAGGTTAAATTTTGAAATTCTAAAATTTCTTTACACTAAAAATGAATATTACTTGTTGGATCAAACACTTACCACTAGGTCAAAAATTATAGTTGATAATCAAGACACAAATTTTTCTACTTAACCGTAGTAGCCCAAGCACTACATATTTTAATTCTGACTTGACCTACTTAGGCCTCTGTCACGAGACAATTGATGAACCTAATAAACATTACTAACTTTCTAATTTTAATGCACTAAGTTAATTTTAAAATGTATGTTAATTTTAAATTAGTTTTTATTGTAATATGGATTTGAGTTTATCATTTTTAAAAGGTAGCAAGAGTATTTTAGATTCAACTTATTTTCAATATATATAATAATTATTTTAATATTATTTAAATTTTATTTGGTTTGCAAATATTTAATGATCATTTTGGACTGAATCTATTTTTTTAGTTTGCTCAAAATATTTGAGGAAGTACTTGAAAAATGTAAGATTGGAAAGGCGTTCCAAAAAATGAATAATGAGTTCCTGATTATCAAGTGAGTTTAAATCATGCTGAATGAAAAAAAATGTTCTGCTACAAAAAAAAAAAAAATGGTTAAAGCTTGTGAATGTAAGTTTTTTTTTCAATACCATTTGAGTTGAACTCAACTGGTTCCCAAACACACCCTAAATTGTTTTATGACCTGTTGGCTCACAAGCTTGCTGGTAAGCACATTTTTTTACTATTTTAGCTTCTCTATTTCTTATATGGAGAAGTATCTTCATCAAGTAGGTGTTAAGTGAAGTAAATTTTAGTGAGAAAGGAGATGTACAAATAATTTCTTTTGGTGTTTTCCTTGTAGTCCTCATTGTGATATCTTTTAATGTATATTGATACCAAATTTGTGTCTCTATGCATAAATAACTTGACTAATTTCGAATTTGTGGATCCAACCTATCAATATTTTAATGTCTGGATCAATGATATTGTAATTGTAGGTTCCATGTGCTTTATGTCTGGATCTGTTGAAATGGAAAATGCCTACCTTCCAGAAAATGAAGTAGGCGTATGGCAGTGGTTATTTGGCAAAACAATAACTAGCATTGTTCTTCGCAATTCTGGATCAAGTGATGGATTTGTTGGAATTGCTGCACCTTATTTTGCAAGAATTCTCCCGGTAAGTACTTACATGCCTCTCCAAATCAGTTTATTAATTCATTATTACTCTTGTTTTAAGTCCCAAAGTTCATCATCTGAAACACAAATTTGTATCCATCTGACTGAAATCTCTATATGTGGTTATGTGTCTCTTACTTATTCAAATACAGATTGATTTGGCAATGTTCAATGGAGAGATTTTGTGTCAGGTATGACTAATTTCTTTACAATTGTTGTTTGGTTGGTTTTAATTCAGATACTAAACTTTGATTTCTATGGGGATACTGTTTGCTCAATTTTCTTTTAAATCTGAGAAACAGAATACAACATAACCGGTTTTGATTTTTTTTCTGTAGCCAGATGCGTTTCTTTGCTCTGTCAATGATGTGAAGGTTAGCAACATGGTTGATCAGAGGGGAAGAAATATTGTTGCCAGTGCTGAGGTGAGATAATTGGTTTTTTTCCCATTATTATTGTCTTTGTTATTAACTTGGTATCACTTGCCTGGCAGGCAATCTTAGTTTTTTTTAATATTATTTTCCTTTAATACATCGCGTATAATGGACATTGTATGCAATGTCAAAATAGGCAAAAAGATGTTTTCTCAAACCAAATAGGTCAGTCTTCTGGTCATGCACATCTCCATATCATTTCTCTTAGACCATGTTCTTTTTTGTAGGGATTCTTGAGGCAAAAGCTATCTGGCCAAGGGCTTGCATTTATACTTGCGGGTGGATCTGGTATTCTTTTCTTCTTAACTGATACATGCTTATAAAGTTTTTGCTTTTTTGTTCCAATTGCAACTCTTACCTCCTTTTGAATTCTTTTTTTGACTTTTAAATGCCAATTTGATTAAAATCTTACTTTAGACTATTTTCTTTTCCACCATATTCCTATGTTATTTCTCATTGAGGCGCTCTATTGTTTTCTGTTTATTGTTAGTTGTACAGAAAAATCTAGAGATTGGTGAAGTTCTAGCTGTTGATGTTTCTTCCATTGTTGCTGTGACAAGTACAGTCAATATCCAAATTAAATATAATGGTCCTGCAAGAAGGACAATGTTTGGGGTAAGTAACTTCCATATCTCGAGCCTTTTTATGTATCCAATCAATACTGTTTTCACAAAAAAAAATCCTTAAATTTTTGTGAGGGCTCATGAGCTATGCATGTTTGGTATCTCCCATCCTCTCTGAAATTTTTGTGAGGGTTCATGAACTATGCATTTTTGGTATCTCCCATCCTCTCTGATAATGGTAAGACTTCCAATTTCCGAGTCTTTATGCGCATTGAAAAAGACTTTACCAGCTGACAACTTCAGTAGTAAACTTTGTAATTTTTGACCATATGATGGCAAAAATTGAGATTTTGCATTCCTAAACTAACTTGGAATTAAGTCTTCTAAAGTGGGGTGTAGTTTTTTTGTTTTTTTGGGTTTGCACCAAAGATATCTTCTAACAGTTAGTCAGAAACCAATTCTTTTCAAAGTGGAAAGATCACTAAAGTGGGTTTTGTCTATCTAAACAAAGTCTTAGACTAGCAATCCTAATGCATGAATTTTAGAAAAAGGAAAGTTTCTCAGTATATTTATTCATATGTTTTCTTGTGAGCATTATGTATCATTGTATCAAGGGTGTCTCAATGCCCCTCAACTTTTTATGGGGGTAGGATTCCATCATAAAAAGAAATGCTGGGCATAATGTTCATTTGCTCTTAACAAATATCCTTATAATTTTCTTTTCGTGATTTTATGCTTTTTAGAGCCTGCAAGATGCAATTATACCTTTTCAGATTTTAGGGGGTGAAGCTCAAGTGGTTCAGGTATATGTGACCATCCTATGTTTAAAAAAATGTCAATTTTTTTAAACCTTCTTTTATATCATCTCTTTGACTGTGTAATATATTATTCATTTGGTTCTTGCAACACAGATAATGTTGAAGCCACAAGAAAAAATCATTGCAAAGCCTGGTAAGTTGTTAGATGTTAGACACTTCAAATGAAAATTTTGTGCTATCATTTTGAATTGTAAACATCAATTATATGCTCTAATTAGTTAATATGAACTGATCTAAACATGATTTTTATAGATAATAATCAATATTACAACATGAGGGTTGTAGCCTTGTGACTTGGATGTCATGGGTTCAAATTGTGGAAACACCTCCCTGCTCCCCCCCAAAAAAAAAAGAAAGAAAGAAAGAAAAATAAAAGAGAGTTCCATGCACTTGGCTGCCCTTTTCATTAATATTGTAATGGATGCTTAGGTCAATTATGTGTCAGGATGTTTATCAGTTTACCATGGTGCCAAATATTGGTCATGACTCTTCAGCATCAAATGTGGATGAAATAACCTATTATTTGGTTTGCAAATATTTAATGATCATTTTGGACTGAATGGAGTTCGTCCATATCAAGAGGAGATCGTAGACACAGGCTATCCACGAAAGGTCCAGGCTTGAGCGACATGAGCATGGCGTGTAGGGCGACCTCGGGGTTCAATTTTCGAATCTTGACCGAGATACTGGCAAAGCGTTCCATGAACCCCCTTAGTGATTCGTCGTCGCCCTGTCTGAGACTAGCCAAGGCATATGATGTGACATGGTGAGGTCGACTCGTGGCATACTGCACCGTGAATCGCCTTACCAGAGTGTCAAAGTTGTCTATTGACTCCATCGGCAGTTGAGTGTACCAGTTGAGCGCTGTCCCCTTGAGCGAGGTCGGGAAAACCCTACACAGAATAGCATCTTTATTAGTGTATAGGTTTACCTGTGTAATGTACAGATCGACGTGCTCGTCTGGGTCTGTCGTGCCGTCGTAACGGTCGATGTGGAGAGGCTTCCATCCGAAAGGGAAAGGCGTTTCCATGATGCCATCCACAAAAGGATGACGACGGAAGGTCGCTTGATTTCCCGTGACGTGGGCAGGAGCATTGCTGACCTCGTGGGCCGACCTGTTCGCCGGTGCGTGAGATCGATGTGTGACAGGTCGGGGAGTGGGTGCCCTAGGCGCGGTTGGGGGTCGAGAGACTGAGTGCTCCTCTTCCTCACGTTGTTATTCGATGGAGGGGGTTGATCAGAAAGGCGCCGAGGAAGCTGGGCGCGAATACGTTCATTCTCGACGCGCAACGCCGCTAGGTCAGCTTTGTTAGCAGTACGGAGTGCCGCTAGGTCAGTTTTGTGCTTGGCACGCATGTTTCGCAGATCGGCATCGTGTTGTTGCCGCATCTGCTCGACCTGTTCTATCAGTCTTCTCAATGATGCTGCGTCACCCATGCTTGTCGCGTGATCAGCGTCGTCTGTTGCTCGTCTGCTATGGCTTCTGGTGAAAACCATACGGGTGGCCGATAAGAGCCGTCTTGATCGGCCCCACGGTGGGCGCCAAATGTTCTTACCGGAAATCTGCTATAGAGCTGATCCGCCAGGTAAGATCGGTGAGCCTCCTTCGCAGGTACGCTTGATGCTCCAAGATGGGGGTGGTACCTACAAAAGAGACTCCGATGCTAAAGTTAGTGTTTGTGGGAGTATTAGTCTCGTATAAATAATGCACGTACCTTAGTATGAATTAGGGTTTTACTGGGCCTTGGGCCCGAGATCAGTTATGACCTATTTGGGCGACGAGCTGACGTCACATAGCGCGTGTCCGAGGTCGTCTTGCGCTGTGATACCGAGCTGGGAGCTCGGCTTCGCAGTACGGATAATACAATATTTTTCATGATTTTAAAATTATTTAATAGTTTATCACATTACTTTATTTTAACGTATATTATTCACATTACTTTACTTTATTTTACCAACCACCTTTTAAGGACAAAAAAAACTATCCCTTAAATGCTTAATTGTTTCTTTCTCTCTTGCTTCCGTTTTCTTATTTCTCTAAAACAGAAACCCTGCTCCCTCTTTCAAACACAAATTGTGACACCCATTTCACCCCAATACATGTAATATAAAAATATAAAGTAATAGTTTTCCCAACTCAGGTAAAATGATTCACAACTAAAATACTTTCAATATCCAAATAACTTTATACAAATATTTATAAAATATAAGTTCATAAATTTAACTAACAAATAAATATAAAATTCAAATACAATAAAATGAATAATCTAAAATCTCTTATCCCGATGTCACTATTAATATTAGAGCAATCCCATGACTCAAACATCTTGAATGTCACTCATGTCCGTATCTTCCTCACCCTAAAAATGACCATAAAACGTATGGTGAGAAAAAAAAAGACATCTATATGAAAAGCACACTAGGAAATCCCCATGAAACAATCTCAATTTGATATAATATGCAAACACAATATCCATCACTCAAGCATGATCAATATCATCAAACCTCAAGTCAATTACATTCCATTGCCCCATCACAATTCACATATGTACATATAAACAATTCGCAGATATAGACCGTGTCACATATACAGCACCGTATCACGCACATGCCTCTGTTGACGCATCATACGTTCATCGTGTCACACACAACTACACCGATGCATTCCACTACTGGCATCGTATCATGCATACAACCATACTGACGCATCACACATCTAGTACCTTATCACGCATACGGCCATGCCCACAATCTCACATAAATAACATCGAATCACGCACATGCCTGTACTGACGCATCTCACGTCTGGCACCGTGTCACGCATACGATTGTGCCCAATCATCATACCACAATTCACAATTCAATTTAATATCACAAATGCAACCAACATTTCCATAAAGCAATAGGTCATACACACATCTTGCATTACACAACTATTTATGCCACATCCGACATCCACCAAAATACACACATTAACCCATAAAATAAATCCACAATCATTTTAAAAATGCACAATATTAATTCAAGCTCGTGCCCAATGAAATTACAATTTTGCCCAACGTGGCTCAACCTGAGAGTCCCTGCTCTTACTCATGCCCGACGCTAGAAGATCGCGCCCAACATCAAGTTTGACAGAGACCTTCTCAAGGAATTGCGCCCGGTAAAATTATAATTTCACCCAGTGTAGAAATTCTGGAAAATCATATTAATCCTTTAAATGTACGCCCGACATTAGGAACTAGGCCCGGCACAGTCGTGAATTCCTTCAACCCAGAAACACAAACAAAACGCACCCAAAATCCACTGTCATCATACAATCATCCTCTTTACACTCCAATTGGTCAAAAGTTATCAAATTCACTCGAAAATACACTAGCATCCATCAATTGCCCAAAAACATGCATCAATTGTTCAAATCCCAATTCTCCAGAACCCTAACCTACTGGCACATTTTAAACAATTTCGTCTCACATCCTATGCATCCATTTCCAACAATCAATATCAAAAATGCAAACAAAAACCCACATAGAACTCATTGAAATTATCAAACATCCAAACAGAAACACGTATAAAATTACCAAAAATCCTAGGGAACTCTCCCTCTACCTATTCCCTCATGTGACTCTGCATATAAAGATCCATTTTCTCCTGTACTTGATTATGCAAATCTAATTAGTCTTGGTGTGATCTGAGACCGTTTTTGATTATTTCCCCTCAGAGTTCTCTATTCTCATATCTCCTGTTACTCCTTTAGAAATGCCAAAATGAAAAATTGATGAGGGTTACTCTGTCAACCGCTTCCTTTTCATTCCCTTGGGTCAGGTCAACCCAACCCAACTCAATTTCGACTTGTTTCTCCCTTTTCTCCAAAAAATAATTATTAAAATAAATACATATACAATATAAAACATTTTTCCTCTATAATAATAACAACAACAACAATAATAATAATATATCTATCACTCAAAATATAATAATATAATTTTAATATTAAAATATCCTATAAACTCAATCTTTTAGATTTTAAAATAAAATATATAATTTATCAAATCCCAAATTATCCCTTAAAACATATAAATAATTATTTAAAATGTTAATAAAAATATTTATTTAATACGTACAAAATAATTATTTAAAATGTATAAAATAATATTGACAAAATACTATATACTAATAATAGTATTTTAAAAAAGGGGTGTTACACAAATCTTCAACTCTCAAATGGCACCTAAAACTCTAGCTACTCGCAAGAGCACCAAGGTTCCCATGAAGGAATGCCTCAAGTTTAACTTTCTACTTAAGAAGAAAATAACAATGCTAAAACTACAAGATGATGGTTATCCAATTAAGCACTACATGGATAAGGCTGGATGAACAAAGTTTACAGGGTTAAAGTGCGACTATTTCCATGCTTTATGTACCTATTTCTAGGCATCTGCCAAAATGAAGCTTAATGCAATGGTGGGCCTGGTGGACCAATAGACGATTAGGGTTACTCCTTTAATCATCACCATTATGACGGGATGTCAGGAAGATGGTATAGCCTACTCTATTGACTAGGAGCAGGTTATTACTCGAGACCATGGATACTCTAGTCTACTCAACACCAAGATAGATTGAGAAGTCCCTCAACAACCTTCCAAATACTACACACATTTCT